TGCCAAGATACACATGTGGTTTCTTAACCAAAAGACAAAAACATGGTAACTGCAATGAAATCTCACAGACCCTCTCTTACAAAAATCTTTTATTTGGAGCAATTACACAATGACATTCCTGGCGGTGACGGCATGCTGGAGTAATGGACACGGTGTTCTGCATGGAATAACATCCATCCTGGAAAGAGCTGAGGCAGGGAAGCTGTCTCACCCCACTCCCATGATAACTTGAAAGAGAATGCGAGTGCTGTCTGCGTCCATGTGAAGTTTATCTCTCTTCCTGTCTTTCATCACTGTGGTTATTAAACCTCCATCCCCCGAGCTCACCGATGTCTAATTACACCAACGGTAAACAAAAGGAGGGTTGAGAGAGGGGGAGATGAAAAACTGCAGCTGGACAGTGCTGTGTTATTATAATTCTTTAAGCGATACTGTTAACGTGGTCAGGCATTTTAGCCCAGCACCTAATAACAGCTCGGAGGTAATTACAGGTCTAGCACTGGGGCGGCACATACTGAGCTGAGCTAGACGCTTGTTAACTTCCCTCAGGCCAAAGGCCGGCGCGTTCCCCCGACCTCTAGCTGAGCATTAGTGCTTAATGTGTTGCTTTGTTTTCACAGATCGCCAAAGCTTAAGAAACAGTGTCAAACCTCTAATCACACGTAATGTGCTTTGCCTGAATTGGAAGCTCATAGAGAAAGAAAGAATTTTCAAAGGGTGAATCTCCCCAAAACTTTTCAAGAACATGTCAGGGTTATATTTCAGCCCAGATTCAAAAGAAAGAAAAGAAAAAAAATGAAGAAACCTAAATGTCCAGACACCCAACATACTTGATAAGACTTTAGATAAGGGTATGTTTTTAATTAATACATTTCTACCAATCATCATATAATTGATATTTTAGTATTTTAATTTATTAAGATTTTGAATTTGCTTTTATTTTTATATTTGTAAGTTTTCATTTCAATTTTGGTTTTAGTAATTTTGTCATGTGCTTTTGTCATTTTAAAATATGTAGCTGTAATTGATTTTTATTCCAGTTATAGTTACATTTTATTTTTATGTCTTTGTTTCCAGCTTTATATCTCTCAACAAAATAAATTCTGCTCAGCTTCCAACTGATCGATTTGGTACTGAATCATTCAGGAATGTTTCAGCTGCAATGTCAACAGGGCTGTTACAGTTATTACATAATCACATGACTTCATCAATGCACAACATGCGTCATGACAGCAACAGACTCTGGGTTAACTTTTTTCACAAATATGATATAATAGTATATTTTATGTAATAGTTATTACATTTTAAATATAACAATTGTTATCATAATTATAGTTATCATAAATTGGCATGGACATTTTCCAAATGCAAACTAATGTTATATATTATTTAAAATTATTATATAATTAAATATTAAACAATATTATATATTATTTGTTATTAACATTTATCTTGACTCTAAAATACACATTTTCAAAAAAATCAATTCTTAAACAATTAGAGAGCTTATAAACTAATGCACTTTTGTCTCTCAATATGGGTCAAGATGCAGCGATCACAGGCTGTCTGTTTGAAAGATTTGATACGAGTGTTTTCATATTGGAACCATATGCACTTTAAGAATATGGAAAAGGGGGACGGCTGTCACAATGGCCTCACAACTTCCTGTTCCAAATCTAAATATTTACACTCCAGACATCCCAAGGAGAGGGGTTGATGTTTTGGGTTACATAAAGTCCAATCCTTCAGAACAAATTAAGCAGATTTTCCTCATTAGATGGGACACGTAGTGTGTGAGGTTTAGGAGCTTTGAGTTTAAGCACTACTGTATAAGTGGTTGAATCTGACTCACATATGGCACTCATGTAAATTATTCTCAGCAGGATACATTACATACGTGGTATGTGTTTATGTCAATTTGTTGTATTACAGTTAGGAATATACACTTGATGCACTGTCTTTCACAAACACAAATCATGTTTAAATTATTGCAGAGAGAAAATTCTGTTCCTGACATAGGAAATGAAAATATACAGTCTGCATCTTAAAGCACCCCAATAGGTTCCAATTCAGATTAATCTAATATTGTGATTGTGAATGAACACAAACTTGTGTTGTGAAATATACAGTTTTCACCCCAGGTCCTTCGTGTTTCGAGGCCTCACATTCACAATTAGCTCTGGATTATGTGGGTATTAGCACTAATGAGAAGCAGAAACTGGATTAAGACCCCACAGTTCCTCCACTTTTTTATTTATTTAATTTTTTTAACTAAAAAGATTATTTAATTAATAACAAAATATTATTAATTATGAAGTTAAAATATTCTAAAATAAATCTTGTGGCAATTAAACTCAACTGAATATGGGAAACTTTATTCTTACAGTTATGGTCCAAAAAGTATATTCAGGACAAACATTGAGAAATAATATTATTTTTTTCTCACTGATACAAAAGTGCGCAACAAGCCATTATTTATACTAGTTGTGCACTGTATTTATCCAATCATGGTTGTTGACACTGCAAATATGCCAAAAGGAACATTAACCTAGGATTTACGAACATAATGTGTGAAATCTCAGATTGTGATTGTGGGTAAAATATGAGCAATGTGAAATGCTAAACAAGATAACTCAGGATTACATTTACCCGGGTTTTAGAGTGACCCAGGGTTAACTATTTTGACAGTGAAAAGCCCTTAAGATTCCTTGTAAAGTCCATATTTTAAAAAGAGTACTTATTACGTAAATAATTCTTTAATATATTTAAGAGCAAACTAAATGTAATGTTTTCGGACACTTAATTGCAATGTCAACTGAAAATTTTAGTATACAGCTTTATTAAATGCAGTTAGCTGAATTTTAGAGTACTTTCTTTTTCACAATTGGGTCAGAACATTATTACTGAACATATAACGTGTGGTTACTCTAAACCTTAGCACTCAAGGGGCCAACTGAGTTTTCTTCAAATGTCATTAATCAGCTATAAACTTGACAGTAGCTGAATTGAAAGAGAAAACTGATTAAACTGTAATGCATAGTGTTTGCATTCAGGTACGGTATGCTTTGTGCCTAAAAGTGGAGGGTGCCATGTTCACGCATGGCTTTTTCAATTTACCTACATAAATTGCTGCAGGGATGACATTTTTTTGTAGGCCAAAACCCAGTAACGAGTTAGCATTTTAGCACTTCCATTTCCATCATCCTGAACTCAATGGTTTTTTGAATGGGTTTTTGGTTAAATGCCTGAAATAAGATCTATGGTTAAAGGGGTCATATGATGCTGCTAAAAAGAACATTATTTTGTGTATTTGGTGTAATGAAATGTGTTTATGCGGTTTAAGGTTCAAAAAACACATTATTTTCCACATACTGTACATTATTGTTTCTCCTCTATGCCCCGCCTTTCTGAAACGTGTCGATTTTTACAAAGCTCATCGGTCTAAAAATATAAAAAACGTACTTACAGTCTGTGAGTCAGAACAGCCGGCATTGTAGTCTACTCTTCCAGGATCAGGAAACAGTCCTCCATAAAATGCGCTGGACACATCTGAATATTTGGGTTAAACTGTTCTGGAACAGTGTTGTAAATACAACTTAACCACTGATTTCTAGTCGTGTCCTCTTTTGGAAGGCCAAACAGAGTAGTTTCGCTTTCACAACGAAACAGCGTCACACACCGCGGCCTTGAGTGAGAGGAGGCTGGAGGCCTAGAGTGAGCGGTGGCCTAGAGTATGCGGAGGTCGGCGGGCTTGAGAACGGCGCGGCCGGCGGATTCGACGAAGGAGCGGC